TGATTGAGAGCGTTAAATTTTATTCAACATCTAAATTGAAATTAGCTTATTATTATCTCTATTATTATTATTAATTATAATATATTATTCATAATTGAACAATTATTATTATAATAATAATAATTAATTACCCTATATTATTTTTATTATCTCTATTTATCGGAGTAGATGATAGAGAATCCTTTGAATAAAGCAGTAAGCTGTTTTTTTTTAATTTGTTAACATTCTTTAAATAATTTTTTCTATTTCTTAATTATTAAATGGATACGGGATTCGAAATAACGGTATCCAGGATGATAGAATTCTAGATGACGGGATGCTAGGGAACAGAATTTGAGAGCCGCACAATTAATCTTTTCCGGGAAGCACCTGTTAAACAAGCAACTTAAGTTTATTAACGATACGGGGGGTGTCTTTTTAGAGGGGAAATACCAGGGATCATACTTACAAAACTAGCCAAGTGAACGTAAGTATTTACGCTCTTTTTTCTTGCCTATGATTGGTGGATTTTGCTTGAAAGGCCGTCAATGATTGGCTGATGAACTTACGATCTCTTAACTTTTTTGAAAGTATGGGCCCTGGCTAGTAGCTCAGGAAATGACGACTAGAAATAATCATCTGGTCTAGTGTCATTAATGGACATGATTTTAGGGTGCGATAAAATGACATGATCTTATGGCATTGTAACATGGGACTTGATTATAAGGCGGCAAGTTACGTGGTGCCATCATGTAGGACATAATTATATAGAGCCATTATTTGGGCATGATTATAATTGCCATGATGTTGAGATGATTATATGGCGCCATCATTTAGGACATGATTGAATAGAGCCATTAGAAAATGAATGGTACAGTTGGTATCCCAGTGTCCATAATATTGACAGGATTGTATGGAGGCATTATTCGGATAAGATTATATGGTGCCTTTAAATAATGAGACGTGATTATAAGGAGCCATCAAATCGACATGATCATATGGTGTCCTCATATGAGACATTATTATTATTATTATTAAAAAATAATATCATTGCAGTTTATCGTCAAAGTTTGTTCAATATATTATTGTCAAATAAAGATTTTTCTTAGTCGTATGTGGAAAATATTTTATAAGATCTATCTCACACAAATGCATTTATTTTCCGCTCCGTAACTCACCATTTATTTCAAACATTTAGTGGTCTTTTCTTGGCATACTATTCTTCATTTATTTACTGCGCAATATTACTGATAATATCGTAAATATAACTTATTTAACAAATAATATATTCACATCTATTTTGCAGGTTAATATCACGATAAATCTTTGATAAGTTAACATAAACGTGGAATGACAGTTTTCGAGATATATATTAAGTAACACCACCTAATATAGTAAGTATTACATACATTCTGAATACCTACAGTAGTATTACTGGACTTAAAATCCAGCTTCACTAAACAGCTATCGTGAGAGGAGCGAATAACGTGTGTGTGTTAGGCAAGACTACTATTTTTTGTTGAGCTCCCTTACCTTCTTCATCAAATATCGTTCTCATACTGTTGCCGGAAGGCATCTAACCTTTTATCACTCGACCAGTCAGTGTTTTAAGGGGAGCGTCTACTCTAAAATTGAAAATTTTCACTTTTTCGGTTTTTATACTCATTTTAAAGCTGACATTCTGCCCTATCCAACGGTACCACTGCCATCTCTCTACGTTTCGTGTATCGCAATACATCAGAGCAGCGTGTATCGCAATACATCAGAGCAGCGTGTATCGCAATACATCAGAGCAGCGTGTATCGCAATACATCAGAGCAGCGTGTATCGCAATACATCGGAGCAGCGTGTATCGCAATACATCAGAGCAGCGTGTATCGCAATACATCAGAGCAGCGTGTATCGCAATACACTGCTCCAACGCTATGCTTGATCTGCCGTATTCATCATGTGTGTAGTTGTTGTTCATACAATATATTACAGAGCGTTTTACTGCAATTTACACTTGCGTGCCAGCAAATAAATTTTCTATGCCACATTTCTATATAGAAATCCGCATATTTGCAATGCCACGGATCTGTAACTAGAATTTTAAAAAGTTCTGCTCGGGGGGAAATCGTGGATTCAAAGACCCAGCTAATCCAGTAACGAATTATTTAGTATGAGGTATATTAATATAAATTTAGCCTGGATTAGATTTCTTAGTATCTACTATCTAGGGCAGCATTATTTGCTACCAATCTAGAATGATTTTACTCGAAGAAAGTAATAACAATTATCCTCAATGTCATTTGTCGAACATTGTCAAAACTTCATAATTATGTTGAAGTTCTAGACTATCGTAGGCGATTTAAAATGTTTCAGACATTTTCGAAGTTGCTAAATTTGTTGTAGTGAAAACTAATAATTATTGTTAAATGCTGGTACAGTTAGTGCTTAAAGTACAGTTATCGATCGAATATTTTCTTTTCTCGATATAGAGGGAAAAAGAAAACGAGACTCTTTTTTAGGTATAACCATCACATTGGAAAAATTAATATTTGATTTAATAGATTTGAAACAACTAAGTAACGATTTCTTCCAGCTACTGATGAAAAATAATGCAAAATTATATGGATTTAAAAAAAAGTTTGATCAAATTATCCAATTCACCTCTTATTATTTTCCAGAAAATTTAAAGCGGAAAACTCCCTTGTCAGAAAGCAACAAAAACAGAAATGATTAAATGTGAATGGTAGTTATGGTAGCCACTACCTAATTTGACAAAGAAAAGTCAATGCAACTCTTAAAATGTGACTTTTTGTTCATTTAAGCGCATAGTTCGTCTTATTTTTGTGCATGATTGTTTAAGAGAAATAAGCACTTATTCTAAGTCATGACGTTTAATTTCTATCGCACACCATCCCAGGGAACCTCTCAAGAAGTGCAGTCATGCTTTTCATTACAACCTCGTTTACTCGAACATGTGTGAAAACCTGTGGCCTGTGACATGAGCTTTTCTCAATACAAAATAATGGAATTACATCTGTAAATAATACGGCTCTTTATTCGGAGCATTGTTCGCAATGAAAACTAGTATATGTATGTAATAATTTTAGAAAAAAGAATGAACAATTAATACTAAATTGAACAATTTAATTGAATTTGAATGAACAATACTACTGAATTTATTCCTCATCTTTATTTTAAAAAACTATAGAAGATCATAATCAAACGATGAACCATATAAATAAATATTAACTTACCAAGTTGCTGAACAATTAAGGGCAACTCCTGGCTACTGATTGAATTTTGTTTGAGCTCCTCTGCTCTGGTGCTAATCTAAAGGTTCCTAGTTCTATGTACAAGGAAGACAAATACGGCATAAGCAAAAATCTTCACAATCTCTATGTGCAAATCTCTTCATTCGTTCGTTATTGTTCTTATTCCGTGAAATAATTTTAAGCGCATTTTGTATCAAGTTTTTATGTAAAATAATTTAGGTACAGAAAAGTGAATCTTGTACGTTAAAAAAATTATAATGTTAAGGATAAAGATATGTATGTGCAGAATTTGAAACATATTTTCTCATTACCCTAGAACAATCAGGGGTTATGTAAAAAAATTACTTCAGAAACCCAGTCTAGATGTACCACCTATTTCCATGGGGCGAGACATCAGTCGAGAAAGCCAACGAATCCTTACTTGTTCTCTAATTTCTTTACGTTTTTAAGAAATATTCAGATACTACAAAGAAGATTTACAAGATATTTTGCCTTCTTCCTCCACATTTTTTTACAAACCATTGCTTACATCATGAAGCATTCACCGTCATGCATTTCAATCGACGATTTGAATCGTGAATTTGACTTGCCATACAATATATGACTATGATTGGATGAAGGGATGTTAAATTGAAGACTAGCAATATGTTCATACATGATAGATAATAAAGTCTAATACTTTAATTTTTAAAAATTGCAACTGTTGCTTAATTTCCCTACCCAGACACTTCAATACGCGTTGCCTAAATCTTCGAATAAATTGATCGAAGGCAACTATTGATTAATTTTAACCATAAATTGACCAAAAAGATGACATCTTATTTTTGAAAGCCACAATATCACAGCCAGAATCTCTTCTTTTTCGTTTAATTTTTTTGCTTGTTAATTATCTTGCCATTAGTCCAATTGCAATTGATGCTGGTGTGATGCAGTAACGACTAAATAGCGCGATATTCCATTTCATATACACAAATATATATAAAATATGTTTTACCTAATAACGTGAATTTTTCAGAAACATGACGTGCTTGAGAAAAAAACAAAGCCAATTCTAAAAATCAGCCGCTTTCTAACCCACACTTGATGATCTCAGAACCATTTATTCTGTTGGCCAGTTTTGTGTTAGCGCAAGCCGTAGCAATTCATTAGATTAATTGATCTTTTATGAGGTAAAAGTGTTTGAAGTCAGTTATAAAGCAAGGTAAAATGATTCAGACGCTTTGTCACATTTTAACAGCTTTATTTCCTTCGATGTCAGTTTTTACACGCTTTTAAATAAATTAATTTTTAAGAAAGGTATCAGCTCAAAAGCTTCAGCATTGAAGTTAAATTGCAAATGGAACCCAATATTTTCGGTCGCTCATGTCAGCAAATTTCGCACCAATTCCCCACTTACTTTAGAACAGTTCTATATAAATAATTTTGACAAGTTACAAGTAGATCATAATTTGAAATTAATTGTTTATTCAGTAAAATCTGCTGAGATTCACATACATGTTCCCCCAATATATAAGCTAATAAATATTTCTTCATTTGCATTATAATCTTGACGCTGTTCAGAGATAACTTTGCTTATTTTTAGATATTACTGGAGCATATATTTTTTTTAAATCACAAAATTGAATGTGAAAAATGTCCATATTCTTCAATGGATAATGTCTGCAAATACTTTTTTGCAAAGGAAACATAATTATCAGTTCAGAGAATGATCTGTCAGAAAATTTTAATGCAAAAATTGTACAAATTTGTACTGTATTTTCAAAAATTCAAATAGTATATAACTGAATTTAAATTATTTGATTAACTGAAGATTCTTTTCATGTGCAAGGAATAGTTCCCCAAAGGACAATTAAGTCGATTGCTTTAGTTAATACTCTATTTGACTGCCTTTAATATGCCGGTGTTCACTTGTTTCAATGTCGTAAACTGATCAATTAACGGTTCATTTCATGCCGGCATCGGTCTCCAGTGCCTGTTTCGAAATTTTCATTTTAAAATAAAAACAAGTTTATTTTCAAAGTCACAGAATAATATTGGTTGCAACAATTAAACGCTTTATTAAATTGGATTACCATCCTACTTCTCTCTAGTTTCTCTGTGGATTGTTGATGACTTTACATGCTTAGATTTTAACATCATCACCATCAGCGTAGTTCAACACTCCGCATGCATTTTATATCAATGCTGTAATGTCGTATGCTTAGTCGCATCCAATCTCTGCTGCTTATGAAGAAATGAAGAACCAAAATTTTTTCAACACTGCTCCATGAATCAACCGACTTTTCAAGCATTTGTAAGCTTCAAATAAAACTAATACCATTTTAATCAAAATATTGAGGCCAAAAAATAAAATTCCATGAAAATTTTTTTCGGAAGCTTGGCGAAGAAAATCGGTTATGAGAGAAAACTATGCTCATGGAAAATATTCTCGAAACGCTAGCGTGAAAGTGTTGGGCCAAAATTTTTTAACAAGGAGTTGTTGGAAAATCTAAAGTTCCAAAATTTAAATGCATCATTTTATGATTAAATCTACAGAGAACATTATACAAATAAAAGATTTATACGTACACTTTAATACATATTTACAATTACAAGCAAAATTATTGGCGTATAATTGGCAGAAATTTGGTGAAGAGAAATTTTTCTGCCGGGCACTCGCCAATAATTTCAATTGTAATTCCGTACCAAAGGAGGTGCCATGTTCATAAGTGCGACGACAAATATATCAAAAGATTCATCAGAATTGAATTCGATTTTTTGAACCTGATTCATGATAAGCTATTATGATCAATTAATATTAAGCATATATTACTGATACATACGCCTCATATTCAGCGGTTCCAAATGAATTTAAATGCAGACAGATAATATCAAAGTTTGTCTTGAGCTTCGTTTATAGCAGTCAAAACAATAAAGCTTAGAAATTTTGTTAAATTATTACGGAAAATCACAAATGATATCGTTGTGGGTTTGTTTTATGCACAGACACTCCTGGACTGCCCTGGCGATGATCACGAAACTGTAAGACTTTCACTGCAGCACAACCCATTATAATGCTGTCACTGCTGCACTACCCAGTATAATACTGTCAGTGTATCTCTACTCAGTATAATACTGTCAGTGCCTCACTACCCAGTATAATGCTGTCGCTGCTGCACTACCCAGTATAATACTGTCAGTGTAGCTCTACCCAGTATAATACTGTCAGTGCCTCACTACCCAGTATAATACTGTCAGTGCAGCTCTACCCAGTATAATACTGTCAGTGCCTCACTACCCAGTATAATACTGTCGCTGCCGCACTACCCAGTATAATACTGTCAGTGTAGCCGGGGTGCCCAGTATGCAGAGTTCGATGAGTCGTGAGCCACAGCGAGAGGCACCGACATCCCGGGAGGTACAACGCCTGGCAGACAAAATTATTGATATTAGAGTCGCGATATTTGGTATAATTCTGATGTTGATTTTATGGAATATACGAGCACGGTATCAACTAACGAATCTGACGCGTGTTATCAACTAACGAATTCGACGTATGGAATCAACTAACGAATCTGATGAAAAGTATCAACTTACAAATCTGACGTGTGGTATCAACTACCTTATCTAACGTGTGATATCAACTACCTTATCTAACGTGTTGTATCAACTACCTTATCTAACGTGTGGCATCAACTACCTTATCTAACGTGTGGCATCAACTACCTTATCTAACGTGTGGCATCAACTACCTTATCTAACGTGTGGCATCAACTACCTTATCTAACGTGTGGTATCAACTAACAAATCTGCCGCGTGTTATCAATATTTACTCCAGCTTGTAATCGCGCTTGTCAAACAAAAAAATTCGTGCTGCATGATTTTCTACCCATCGATTTCATTCTCCTCTGAATATGTTATAAACTGGTCATTATTTTTCAGGTTTCGCCAATTAATAATTTGACGATGAATGAGTAATTATAGAATAAATAAGGGATTACCTGCTTGTGATATTGAAGAGGCGTTGGTGGCTAAATATTCTGCGTGTAGATTGTGTGTGAGTTGATGCTGGTGATGATGCTGGTGATGCTGTGGGTGTTGCTGGTGCTGTGGATGATGTAGATGCTGTAGATGATGAGATTGGTGGTGATGACCAGGGTGATGATGTAACGGATGTTGTGAAGGGTAAAGCATGGTAGTAGGTGGTGAATGTCTACTAGATGGGTAAAAAGATGGGTCATAACCGTTACGCATATATGGGTTAGATGGGTGTATGGGTGTGGGTGGGGTTGGAGGTTGGTGTGGGTGTTGGGGGATCAAGTGGGTGTTGGCGGTGGAACTTGGAGGCATACCGAAGGGACTGGACGCTGGGTTAGGCCCCAGCATGGATCTGTGGGCAGACGCCGTGTTAATTTTCTGCTAAAATCGTGCATAATAAATAGAAGATGAAAACTTTTAATTTCGATGGAAAAACGCTGCTGAAATCATGCAAGAATGTTAAAATATAACGTTCCCCTCTCAATATAAAATATTGAGAGGGGAACCCAGCCAAGACCTACACCTCGAGAGGGGCTAGCTGGGCTAAATTTCCATCATCGAAGAACAGACTGGGAGGCCATTGGGAACGAACTCCTCGAAATTGACTGGAGATCTGAGTTCCTGGAATTAAACGCCGAAACAATGTACAACAAACTGTGCCAAATATTACTGCAGGTATGCTGTCTCTTATACACATCTAGATGTGTATAAGAGACAGGAGAGGGAGAGTTCACCCTGGAGACCTTCAAGAGACAGCTAGACGTGTTCCTGAGCACAATCCCAGATCGACCTCCCCTGCAACACTACCAGCGGCGAGAAGCAAGCAACAGCATCGTGCATCAGGTGGCCCAAATGAGGGCGGATGAACGATAATCAGAGGCGGCGATCCATCGTGGCCTGGGACTGCTGTGTCCCAAACAAATACTAAGGATACTAAGGATAAGGATATATTTGAATATATATGATGATGTATGATCAAATTACAGAATTATTTACTATTTATAAGCAGCACATAATTTAGTTGCAAGCGAAAAGATTTCTTTTAGTTTAACGCGAAAAAAAAAACACAAAATTTAACATGTAATATGACATTCGATATTTTCACATAAAACAATATTTTATCTAAGAAATACTATAACCTCAAAGAAATCGAATTTCATAGAAAATAATTATTTCGTAAGATTTTTTATACGAGACCAAACTGAACTCACCCGAAGCTATCGACGGTATTCATGTGATGGGAGGGGGGTGGGGGCGGTAGCGGGGTATACATGGGTGGAGTTGGGGTATAACTTGGGGCGAGTACCCTGGATGTGGGGGAACTATCCCCCATTATACCCCCGTTGACAGCACCGTTATTAGTTCCCGAAGAATGATCAATAATACCATTAGAGACGGCAGAATTACTATTGTTTGTGTTATTGTTGGTGTTGGTGCTGGTGTTAGAACGTCGTTGGTTGCGTAGTTTCTCTTCCCGCCGCCACTTGGCGCGACGATTGCTGAACCAAACCTGCACAATTTCGGACATTATAAATGCTTATTTCCATTTCAGATAATTTTATACAATTGTGAAAATTGGTGAATGAATTTCTTCATATTATTGTAATATGTTACGATTTTGAATCGTTGGTGCAAATGGACCAAAATTCGTTTAAGAATCGCTGGAAAACTCTAATTGAAAGGCCGTATTTCGAATTATCCATTAAAATTAATCATAAGGAAAACATTAGATTTGAATAGTGACTAATCAATTTTGGTAACTGAACACACAAATAAGAAAAAATAGGAAACAACATTTATATTTCAAAAACTACAGCTCAATTTCAATTTATATACAAACGTATTTTAATTAAATTTTCATAGCAATGAATTTCCTCAAACATGCACCTCAATTTGTGCTTACATGATAACCAAAACAATTTGTTTTCAAGATTTAAAATAGTACTAACTTAATTCTTAATAACAATGAATTTCCTCAAACATGCTTCCAGTCTGTGCGTATTTGAGAACTTAAAATTTTAGTTTTCAAGATTTAAAACATGTACTAACTTAATTCTTAATGGCAGTGAATTTCCTTAAACATGCACCGCAGTTTGCGTTTAAATGCCTAGCAAATTACGGACCCGGCATAAGTCCAGCATCTATCTCAATCAATCGTCAGTTATGGAAAGATCGGGTTCCAAAGGCCGGATCCCTTGTGAATCAAGTCACGAAAAGTTCAAGAATCGGCAACAGGCCATGGGCCTATTCCTTCAGTGCCGACACTTCTATTCTATTCTATTCTATTCTATTCTATTCTATTCTATTCTATTCTATTCTATTCTATTCTCAATGTAAAATAAACATTTTCTGACCTGTATCCTGGCCTCCGGCAGGTTTATCTTGGCAGCCAGTCGCTCCCTGGCGAACACGTCAGGGTAATGCGTGCGCTCGAACTCTGCGCAAACGTTATCGAAATCAATTAGTTTGAATAATATGATATAATATAATAATTTGGTTATAAATATAATATATAATTATTATAATTATAACCAAACCAAAATAATAAAACCAAATCAAATCAATCAAAATTATATATATATATATTAATATATTATTAATTATATATATATTAATCAAACCAAACCAAATTATAATAAATAATTTGGTTTGTTACTATTCCAGCCAATCTCTGACGGGTTGTAAAGCTAAACGTTCGGTAATTGTACTTTATTAAATTAATTAAAATACATTTAATCAACCTCTTACTGTATCTAAGTAGACTATTCACCCATAAGAGACATGAATTACTGGCACTAAACCGAATTATTAAATATTTAACCACTTGATAGTTAAAACATCGACGTATTCGTTGATGACGACAATTCACTATATATTTATTCTATATTACATTATTGTCCTAATGGTATTCCTTCACATTTTGTTCTCGCGATATCATACCTTTCTCCAAACTATCGATCTGATCGTTGGTAAAAGAAGTCCGGTTGCGCTGAAGTTTTCTCTTGAGATGAAGTCTCGCCTGATCGCTTCCTTCACTACCAATCAAGTCCACTGGAGTCCCCAGCCGAGCTCCAGCAAGTCCCAAATTACAGCTGGAGTCTCCAAGTCCATCACAGCTGCTGCCCGTATTGCTGTCATCCTCGCTTGTGTCGCATACGTCTGCAAAGTTGACTTGTAGTTACGTGTACATCTGCACTACAGACACTGTGTCACATACGTCTGCAAAGTTGACTTGTAGTTACGTGTATGTAGTTACGTGTACATCTGCACTACAGACATTGTGTCACATACGTCTGCAAAGTTGACTTGTAGTTACGTGTACATCTGCACTACAGACATTGTGCCACACGAGTCTACCGAGTAGACATCGAGGTACAATAATTATTGTACGGCTACAAAGCAGACACGGAGTTACATGTATACATCTGGAATACAAACACCCAGTTACCTTGGTACATCGGCAGTTCAGACATTGTGTTACATGTGCGTGTGTACTGCAAATATTGTGTTATCTGTAAGTCTACAGGTATTGAGCTACGTCATTTAATAGAGCACATGCAGATATTGGGATATGTCAATTAATCTAGCACATGTAATGTAATGTAGAAAATCTTCGACAAGTAACGCAGTCACAAGTGCAACTGCTACGCGAGTTGAAATCGGCCTGGTAGAAATGTTTTGTAATAAGAGAAACATGAGCAACATTAACTTGAGAGAAACATCCGAAAAAATGATGTTAACTTAACAGAGCCCAGTAAATAATTGGGACTAAAGCTAATTCTTGTCTAGTGAACGTCGAACGATCGAAACAATCAATATTTTTAGTATCTTGATGTTAACAAATGTTCTATTATCCTATGACGTCCCATTTTACTGAAAGAAAAATATTCAACAAATTAATTTCTTAAGAAAAAATACTTCTCTTTCTAAAAAATATTTTAAGCCTCTAAAAATTTCACTATTAAACAGTCGCAAATCCGAAAACAATTTTCACTCAAAAAAAGTGTTAAACTCTAAAACACCAACAAGTCCAACAGTTCATGAATCACAATCTCTTGAAAACAGTCGTTTCCGCCCACCGAAAAAAGTCTTTAAGACCCAAAAGTTGTATCGCTATCAAGTCGCAAATCTGAAGCGACGGAAAGACTTCTGTTTCTCTCGCCAGATCGCAGCTTCCGTCACAACTTCTCTATCGCCTAAACTTTGACGTCTGACTCAAGTTTGGTTCTTGCAGTAACGCAGCAACTCCGACTGATGGAAGCAGCGCTTTGTAGAGAAGATTCCAGCAATATCTGGGGTAGTTTGGATATATGGAGAATAAACCATGTTTTTTTTCATATTACAGAGGAAAATTACTAGTTTTCCATAATGAGATTTGAAAGTGTCTGAATAAAATTGAATAGAATAGGATTTGGAAGTAGATTAAACAGGTTACTGGTTATTTATTTAAGATTCAGTGATGTTCGGAGCTTCTAAAGTTGTGGCTGGATATAAATAATTCTAAACGAGACAAATTAAGACAAAATGACTGAAGATGAACTTGTTCGTGACTTTGACTGAGATTAAGCCGTGAATGTTTAGCGCCCGCAAAAAATTATCTCTCTCTAAATCATCCACAGCAACATTATGCAAAACTCACAATAGCTCCCCTCTTTCACCACTCGTCTGATGTCACTCGTCGCTCCCACCCTCCATTCTTCCTTATAACTCCCTCATTATTCCGCTCACCGCAAACTCTGCACTTTCTTGCTTCAACCTTTCTGCTTCATTTTTATTGGCCCTCGCAGCAATTCCCTCATATTCATTCATTGCTAAAGCAGCATTTTCTGCCACCTGCTCTCCGACTCCCAAACTGCATTCTCTTACATGCCTTAAAATCAGAGGCCTCCCCTTACCATCCCACTTTTGTATTACTTCGCCACATCTCCTCAACCCTCCTCCCGGCCCTTGTATCCCCCACTACTCCCCCCTCCATGGACCCGGTTGAGTGCGCATCCCCTCGCAGCACCACGGCTCATAAACTCCACGGCAGCCGCGCTCCATTGTTCACTAATTATGCAAGGGCGGCCGCGGCAGCGCCGTCAACTCCCCTAACGCTGCGGTCAAGTTGAACTTCATCGCCCCAGCGCTCAGTGCTTGCATTTCAAATTAGACTCGGATAGACAACGCTTGCTTACAACGTGTTATGATTAAAAGTGTTCAAGTAAAACATGGTGCTTGGGTTAATGATAGACAACGCTTGCTTACAACGCGTTTAGACTAAAAGTGTTCAAGTAAAACATGGTGCTTGGGTTAATGATAGACAACGCTTGCTTACAAAGCGTTTAGACTAAAAGTGTTCAAGTAAAACATGGTGCTTGGGTTAATGAATGATCTTAACTGCGAAATGTTTGTACATTGTTCAATATCAACTGCGTGGGTGATGCCAATGTATTCTATTTGAATAAATTTTGATCGTATGACAATTATGAACGATTATATACCTACCTCGCATTTGAAAGCAAATAAAGAATATTTGGATATCGGTGGGAGTTTTAAACCCTTTTTGACTGACGAATATTTACCTGAGTGATTATGAGATCTAGCCTTTGTTGAGAGTTAAGCAGCGATGTCTGATTGGATTGTCAATTGGATTGTTTCCTTAACCCATGCGCACAACCTAAAGGGCAATTCTTTCTAAATACGTATTAAAAGTTTTTTCACAACGATATAACAAAAAAAGATTAAGTTGCAATTACTTAACTTTAGACAGAATAAATGAATGTGACAGTAACACGCGAAACTTTCATTGGTTCAGTGACGTTTGCGTGCGAAGAGGTTATAGTTTATAAAAACTCGAATAGGTGCTATAGGAAAGCAGAAGTATTGGCGCGGGAAGAATGGGTGGTATATAATGGACGTGAAATTTACGCCGCGAGGAAAATAGCGACTACACGGACTCTGAAGTAGAGGCGCAATGTGAAATGGGTAGTACAGGAAAATTGAAGCACCACCAATTTGCAGGGGGGAATGGGTGGTCAATGGACGTGGAAATTGCGCCGCGGAGAAAATAGCTGCTATACGGACGCAGAAGTAGCAGTGGCGCAGAGTGAAATGGGTGCTATAGGAAGGAGGAAGTAGCGATGCAGAGGACTATCGGTGCTATAGGCACGTAGAAAGAGCGACGGAGAATGGGTGTTTTGGGACGTGGAAGTTGTACCGTGGGTTAAAACGGGTTTTGTATGGGAGTGAAAGTAGCGATGGATAATGAGTGCCATATAGGGACCGGAAATAGCAGCAAAGGAGGATTAGCGTGCTATAGAGAACTGAAAGAAGCGATGTAAATGAAGGATGGATGCTCTTGAGGTCGTGGATATAGTAGCGCAGTCCAAGAATGGCTGAAAAGGGGATTTAAAAGTAGCCGAATATGGAAGAATTCGTGTGTGAGGTCATTCATATATAAGTGAGAGTATAGAAGTAGGGATGGAAAATATAAGGCGCAGAAAAGGAGCCAGAATGAAGGAAAGTTATAGTTTTAGGAACATAGTAGCACCGGTGAATGGGCGTTATGAGGACAGGATGGAAACAAGACGGGTTCTTTGGCAGCAAATTTCCGCTCGTGTGGCTTAGTAATCGAGCGATGACGGCGCGTTAGCGGAGGGTCGGCCCAAGTCCCAGGATATTGGGGACTGTGCTGGGAGTCCCGGAGACATTATGGACTGTGATACAAGTCCTTAGGATACTGGGGACTATGATGGGAGTCCCGGAGACATTATTGAGTATCAGTCCTTAGGACACTGGGGGCTGTGATGGGAGTCCCGGAGACATTATGGACTGTGATATAAGTCCTTAGGACACTGGGGACTGTGATGGGAGTCCCGGAGACATTATGGACTGTGATATAAGGAGCAATTTTGTGGAGCTATTTACTGCGATTCTCAGCGATCGCGTGGCGCTATTTACTGACCTTCCCAACGATTGTTAAAATTTATTGTCAAATTAATTCGTTAAGGTTTATGCGCTTATCGTTTGTCTCGTGTCCGGAGACATAGTCGACGCTCTGTAGCTCGTTCTAGACTACTATTGCTTTAACCTTACCTGAGTGAAGACCTCTTGCTCAAACAGTATTACCAATTTTGTTAACTCTTGCTTATATGTACCTTAATTTGAGTTTGGGCGAGTGTGTTTTCATTTTATTTTGTTCAATTCAATGCATGTTAGAACTTCTGTGATTCGCTCGTTTAAGATCTTGCTTAACCGGCTTTACGCCAGTGCTTGGAACCCGTAGGGGTTATTGGCTCTTTGGAGCTTCGGTGTATACCGATATTGTCACATGCCTTAGTGCTGTGAATTAACTTGCATTCTTGCATGCGTTTTACTCGTTTTAAGTACGAGCGAACACTCCTATTACTGTTTTCACTATTTTCTTTCTAATAGTTCTCTACATGTGAACTCTTGTCTAGGGTTCCTCAACGGAAACAAATAGAATAGATCAGTTATTATGATTTATCTTGAAAGCGTTATTCATCTGACTTTATTTGATCATATTGCGTTAAAAAACTTGAAGTTATTAATTTTAGGCTTAATTTGGTTTTCTGTCTTATTCAGATAAGAATCCACCCAACCGCCTCTACTTGGTCTTCAACTCTGCCGTTTCTGATTTTTGAACTGAACTTCTCCTTGCTTATACGTTCTGTTGCCACCGGCAATATATGGTGAGAATTGGAGAGAGAGACATATTCACCTGAAACAGTGACTTATTCAACTGAAATTAAATATTGTGTTCTAGACTTTTAGCGTTAGAACTTGTACTTATGTGCGAACCTATTCTACAACAGTGCACGAGTTCCTCATCGCGCTTCGTACTTCTCGTTTCCTCCTGGCTTCGTTATGCGAATCAATTCTCTTTTCGGAACCACAACAATAAAAGTTTCAAAGATTTCTTTGTTCTTTAATCTCCAATCGTACCAAAGTTCAATACGATCGCGTGGCGCTATTTACTGACCTTCCCAACGATCGCGTGTAAATATTTACTGACCTCCCCAACGATCCCGTGGCGCTATTTACTGACCTTCCCAACGATCGCTTGTAGCTATTTACTGACCTTCCCAACGATCGCTTGTAGCTATTTACTGAACTTCCCAACGATCGCGTGGCGCTATTAACTGACCTTCTCAACG